AAAAAAGTTAAAAAAAAAAGATACTAGTATTTGATTTGATTAAACTATTTTCTTCTTCTTGTAAATGAAAATATGATATTTTTTCTCAATTATAAAGAATTTGGGAAGGTTTCGTTACGGAACCATTTCTGTCGAGATTTTAACCGTTAGATCAACATGTAACCGTCAGAGATATATAGTTGATCTAATGGTTACAAATCCTGACGAAATAGTTCCGTAACGGGACCGCAGCATCTTCCAAAGAATTTTATATGTATATTTACATATGGGAAAATAATAGCTAAAAATTTTTTCATTCCAATAAAGAAAAAAAATAATGAATTTTGATAATAATTGGGATATTATTATTAGCTCGAAAAACTACGTTTAATTTGACACAAAGCTCAACAAATTAATTGAGCTGGTTACAAGCAGCATAGCATACGGGCCAATGCATACATACAAAATACATACAATAATAAGCTTATATCTATAGAGAGAGAAAGTGAGAGAAGACACATAGAGCTAGAGAGAGAAAGAGAGAGAGGAGTACTGTGTGTGGGCCCCACCTGCTAAATTCATTCCTACTTTGAAACTAAAAGAGTTTGAACTTTGAAGTTTTATGCCCATTTGCTAGAGAGAGAGATTCAGAGTGCGCGTAAATGTTTATGGATTCAACTAGTTTTTATTTGATTTGTTTTTTTAACTATAATTACTTTTAAAAAAAGATGGTATGATTAGTTGTTAGTGGATATATTAGAATAATATTTAAATATAATAATTAAAGTTGATTTGATGTAAAGTATGAGAAAAATGATTGGAAGTGATGGTTAGTTAAAATTATGTGAGTGGATGAATAATGAATTAAAGTTGATGTGATGTGTAAAAATGATTGGTTGATATTATTTAATTATATTGATAATATAGAAGATAGTGAGGTTGAATTAAATTTGAGTTAAATTTGAGTTTTGATTGGCTTTTTGACTGTACAAACCATAAACAATCCCCCCTTATAGAGAGAGGAAAATTTTATACCCTTTTTTCTTTTGAAAATCAAACAAAAAACATCCACTTGAGATGACCTCTCTCTCTCTCTCTCTCTCTCTCTCTCTGAGAAAGATTCTTAGTTTTGGTTTAGTTTCATAAGAGTAACTATAATCTGTTTTTCATTTGTTTGTATTTTGAAAATCTCTCTCTCTCTCTCTCTCTCTCTCTCTCTGTAGCTTCCAAAAAAGCCTTTAATTTGTTCTATTTTCTCCTCTTTTCTTTTGTTGTGCTGAAAATACACCAAGAAAGGCTCAAAAACATGATGTCTGGTGATCTTTCTTCTTCCTTTTCCAATCCTCATCAAGCACCCAAAATTCTTCCTCACCAAGTGCTACAAACAAACCCTAACTCCAAACCTAACCCGAACCCGAACCCGAAGAAGAAGAGAAGAAATCTACCAGGTACACCAGGTAACACTAATTTAGCCAAAATCAATACATCCACAATCATCTTCAAACTCCATCAAAACCACACTCTCCAAGAGAGAGAGAGAGAGAGAGAGAGAGAGAGAGAGAATCCAATCTTGAAATTAATTAAATCTTTGATCATTTCTTTTTGTGTCAAATTGTGAACTACGCCAAGTAATCTTTCCAAGAAGATGGCCAAATTTGGTGCAGAAAATCTTCACTAACTAATAAAAATCCAATATAATATACAAAAAAAATACAAAATTCATGAAAAAAATTAGTACCCAATTAACTTTTATTTGAATTTTCAGATCCAGAAGCAGAAGTCGTCTCACTCTCCCCCACAACTCTGATGGCCACGAATCGATTCGTGTGCGAAATCTGCAACAAGGGTTTCCAGAGGGACCAAAACCTGCAGCTCCACAGGCGGGGCCACAACCTGCCGTGGAAGCTCAAGCAGAGGGCCAACAAGGACATTGCAAAGAAAAAAGTTTACGTTTGCCCGGAGAAAACTTGCATCCACCACAACCCCTCCCGAGCCCTCGGCGACCTCACCGGCATCAAGAAACACTTTAGCAGAAAACACGGAGAGAAGAAGTGGAAGTGCGAAAAGTGTTCGAAAAAGTACGCGGTTAGGTCCGATTGGAAGGCCCATTCCAAGACTTGTGGGTCGAGGGAGTATAAATGCGATTGCGGCACACTTTTTTCCAGGTTCGCTAGAATTTTATGATGATGCTGGTGAAGCTAAATGAGTGTTTGAAAAATAGCCAAATAGGGTTTAGTTAATGTTGTTGTAGTCTCCCTCTTTCCCTTAATAGTACAATTTTAATGTCTTACCAAATATGATTAATTAGGTCATTAGTAGGAGCATGTATGTGTGTTTCCTTTCATCATGATCATGCATTGCAATGCATACATTTTTTACTCAAATGTCATGAAATTCATTCTAATCCATTTTTTTTTTCGAAAAATGGATTTGTGTAGAAAGGATAGTTTCATCACGCACCGAGCCTTTTGCGATGCCTTAGCCGATGAAAGTGCGAGACTCGCGGTGGCCAACGGTTTGAACTTCGTAAATCACGATCTCGTGACCAGTAACAACAACAGTATCAGCAACAACAACAACAACAATAATAGTAATGATAATAATTTGATTGGAGGATTCACCGGAGGCTTCCGACCACCGGATTTCGGCGGCATATCAGCTGGGAGCCCGTTTCTCATCGGCAACCACCACAAGCTCGGACTCCCGTCGTGGTTAAACCACCAGACGAATCATCATCTCAATCCCAATATCGACCAAAGTCCCGATGTTTTCACGGCCCACGACATGATTCAAATGGACGGCTCGAACAATCCTTTAGGCCTGGCCCAATCAATGGGAACCTATTCGAACCTCTCGTTGTCTCCAGTGCAAGCCATGAAAGAGGATCCCACTTTAGCAGCCGCGCTCTATAGCTCAGAAAATGGCAAAACCCACAACCATCAGCCGCAATCTCCGGCGACAATGTCGGCCACGGCACTCCTCCAGAAGGCGGCCCAAATAGGGTCCACAAAGGGCGGGCCGGGTTTCTTCGGTAACACGGTCGGGCTTGAGAATTCGACCTCTTCCCCGGCTTCTTCCTCAGCCGGGAGCGAGCTGAACCGGGTTTTCGGGCCGTCCGTAAACGGTTTGTTTGGTGGGGCAATTGGTCGAGCACCTGGAGGGCAGGTGGGCCGGGGCCTGCATGGTGCGGAGCACGCCGGCTTGACGAGGGATTTTCTGGGCGTGGGCGGAAGGGGAGGGGTTGCCGGAGGGCCGTTGTCGCCGCAGGAGCTGGCGAGGTTCGCAGCGATGAGCTCGGCCATGGGGCTGGGCGGACGATTTACCGGCGAAAGCTAGCTGAGTAACGTGTGTGCGTATGTGTGTGTGTGTTTTTTTTTTTGTACTTTTGTATTGTTTTATTATTATTTTTTGTACTATGTAATAATGTGGTGAATTCGAGCGTGGAAATCTTATCATGAATATTGCCACGTCATCGTATATATTCCCCTGTACATTTCTTTTTTTTTTTTATATACAAGAAAGGAGGCCGAGCCTATGTTGCTACTCGTCGAGGGTACGCGACCTCGATATTATCATGCTCAAGCCAGGTTCCAGCTCCCGACGAGGGTACATTTCTTCCTTTAAATTCAACTGTTGTAACGATGATAATAATAATATATTTTACCAGTAATTAACTATTTAAAGTAAAAAATCAATATATATTGAGAATTATGAACCATATTTGCATTAATAGTTCTAAAAGTACAATGTATATTCAAGTAGTCATTTTGCTTTGTAGGATTATTTGAAGTAGTTCAACTCCTTTTTATAGATTAAAGTGGTCCTATTTATGGAGTCATTTTCATATAATATTTGTAGCTATAGTACTCTTATGTAGATATAGTTGTTAAACGAAATGAGTAGTTCGTGAGTTCGAATTGGCTCATTAAAACTAGACTTCAGTTCGTTAAGGCTAAAAAATATATATATATATATATATAAATTATACAACTTTTTATAATTCGACACGTTAAAGTTGGAATTCGTCTTGTTAATATTATAAATCAGCGGAATCAAGTTTAGCTCGTTCACAGCTGTAAATGTAGATGTGTCAATTTTTAGATTGTATTAATAAGTCAATATGCAAAAAATAACATGTGTCCACTAATTATATAAATTTATTGTTACCTACATATATAATATCCAATTATTTCTCTATACCATGTATTATAGGGCAAGACTACAGTTCCGTTATGGATTCATTCTGTTGAGATTTGTAACGTTAGACGTTAGATGCCCAATGAGCATCTAACGTTACAAATCTCAACGAAATGATTTCGTAACGAGATTGTAGCATTTTCATGTATTATAAACTATTATAATCGGGTTTATAAACTAGGTCGCCATATAATTCAATCAGAACAACATCGAAATTTAAAGGATAAATTTAAAATCTTCTTCTAGTTTATACAAATTCATTCACAAATTAATATACAAAGGGAAAACATCATTTGAATCTCTCCTAATAGATGTTTTGCTCTACTTTTTTGCTGCAAAAATCCTATTTAAAATTCTTCTTATTCTTCTTGATCATTATTGTTATTATTATTATTTGATTGATATTCTTGAAATTGAAGGGCATATTTTATTATTTATTATTATTAGGAATTTATGATGTGTTCTTTGACTAGTGACAATTGTTTGAGACGACCTCGTCAGAGTTTGGTGAGTCGTTAGTCTTCTTTTTCGTTATTATATTACAATTATCCAAAGATCATTGGACCATTGGATTTTTTATCTATTTTTCTCCTCATTTAATTTGGTTTTCTGTATTAGCAATAATTGTGATGGAGAATATTTGTACATATTATTCTATTTCAGTCATCTTCACTCAAAAAAAAAAAAAATATTGCATTACACGTGAAAATCAGTGACAGAAAATTAGAAAAAGTCAACAACAAGTTCATATCAGTGATTTTCCTTTTTTTTTTTCTTCTCTGAAATTATATATTGTGGAATTGTATATTTTTAATTACTTTTGAAAAAAAAACATAAGAAAATAAGTTTTTTTTTTAACATGTTATATGGAATTTAACAACTATAATAACAGAGAATAAGCAAATAGAAAGTTGTAACGTAGTTGAATTTTTATTATTTTGATGTTGGTTTCATGTACAAAAAGTCGGTTATATGTTGAACCGAGGTTTTTTATGCATATTATTAAATGTATTGTCGGGATCCAGATCCTCGTACATGAGTAACTGCTGCTAATTATAGTAATTACATACTCGTTATTCGAGGTTGGTTCGACGACATTAAATGCAGATTAACAACATAGGGGCGGCCAGTCTGCAGGCGGTCTCACAAGTAATGATGAAGATATGGGCGGCTGATTGACAGGCGTCCCATCTGTTTCTTATCATCTGTCTTGACCTCGGTTCTTCATGGAAGTCGGTATTCGTCCAATTGAAGAGGTCGGTTTTCCTCCATGCTCACCCCGTGTTATACCAGGTCGATTTTTCTCTTAATCCTTTGTCCTGGGTTGGGGTCTTTTGGCGATCTTTCACGTGGGGCCTTCTGATTGGGCTGATCAGGTCGGTTGTCAACACATGCATAGTTACTAAAAAAATAATATGAAGCCAATAGTCGGTATAGTGAATAGTTAATTTAGTTAGATGATAGTTGAATGCTGATTGAATTAGTAATTTTCACAAGTTGATTGAGTTGAGAAAAATGTTTGGTAATTACTAAATATCTAATTTGCCCCATTACTCTAATCACCAAACAACAAGCCTTTGTTATAAATTCTTTTATTTTAAATTTTGTAAGAACACAAGTATTGATTGATCCCAACATTGGCAATAACAAAAATTCGAAAGACGTGGATGTTTGACTTTTTATGCTCCTAATTTTATGACTTTTACTCGCTAAGGTAGAATGTTAGGTGACCCAATAAATTTTTTTAAAATATAGTTTGGGAAAATAAAATTAAGAAAGTAAATAAATTAAAGATTATTGGGAATCCACATGTTTGTCCTTTGCATATGTTTCTATCACATTTTTCTTAAACCACTCTTTTTTTTTTTTTT